TTAATCAAACTTTTTCATGTAATTCGGCCTAATCACTAAACAATACAAAACATGATTATTGACAATTATCTTTGAATTGCGATAGTTGAAACATTCCACATCAACACCAGGATTAATAGGTTCAAAAAACAGCTTATGGTCATGTTCTAGTCCATTTCTAAGCCAAAAAAACCGAAGATATGATGTCAGGGGGCTCCTACTCTGTCGAATGTATCAACCTACTCGACGAGTAGGATGATTTTTTCATGGACTCGGCGAGTCCAGTGCCCCGAATGCCCGAAATTCGACTTTTTCAACATTTTTTCAGCAATTTGCATCAAGTATAATTGAAAACAAGCCTAGGCTCTGATACCACTGATGGGTTTTGAGCATGTTCTAACACTCCTAAGTGTACATGCAACCCTAAATACCTTGGATATATTGTTTTCTCTATTATACATGCAAATATGATTATCCAATGTATTATCCTAACTAGCATACCAAAACATTGATACTAGGATACTAAAAATAGATAGAATACATACCTTGTTGTTGTTGCTTGACTCCATGAAGCTTGAGAGCCTAGTGCCCCAAGTGTGACACCTCAAATGGTTCACACAACATCATGAACTCTTGGAATAACCATGAGAAGAAGACATACATGTTCAAATGGCGCTAGCCCTCAAAATATGTATCACTAGTGCCAATTTCTTGAACTAAAGGGTTCTTATATAATGTGGCTTAGGGGTTACACCATGTAACTCATGACTTTACCATTCCTTATGCTCCATGGGTTTTAACCTCCATGGAGTATCCATAGATCACCACATGGGTTAAACCCAACATAAAGGAATCTTGGATCATAAGCCCACATATATAAGAATGAATGATTTACACAATCAATCCCCATATATTTAATTAGTCTCTTTTTGATCACTAAATTAAGTCCAAATTAATTCTTGATCAATACTAATTAAATAACATGATTTATATTAATATATTAGAACTTATAATATATTAATATGTCACAAAATGTCCTTTTCCTCATAACGGTCTATCCAAATGTTCCGATGCCATGCAACCCAAATGGACCATGCCGAGTCGGGTCAAGTACATACCAATTATAGTTATGGACTTAGACACTAATCCAACACATATGTCATTAAAATACCTTATTAACCTCCTTCAGTAGAGCTGTGTTCTTCAGCAGTAGACTGGCCTCCTTCAGTAGTTTGTGGATGGCCTGATTGTTCTCCTTCAGTAGGGATATCAGTTGCAGAAAACTCAGAACTTTGATCATGTATCTCACTGTCAATAGGGATATCAGTTGAGGTGATGATGCCTCCTTTTGCGCCTACCCATCCTCCTATAACACCACAACAGATAAGTACATGCATACAAATATATACATATAATACATAGATACATGCATATAAATATACACATAAGATAAATTGCCTCAATTTTTCATTAACTATCATCAAATACTAATCTAGTCACCGTTATTTTCTTCATCATCTATGATATCTATGTTTTCATTAGCTATTATCATTTCTGGTGAACATCTATGCCATCATCGCCAACCCTATGCAAGTTAGGTACATCAAATATGTCATCATAAGCACCTCCCATGTAAAATACATCTCTAAGCTTTACATGCCACACAATCTCCCAACCTATATGTTTAGGATCCATGGAGTAGAACACCTTGTCGACTTGTGATGCTAAAACAAAGGGATGATCAATCAAGTTAACACCAGTATGTGTCTTATATGAGAATTTGACCAATGTTAAATTGCCATCTTTCTTGCAACCTCTGTTGATGTCAACCCACTCAAATTTTAAAATAAAACTACTCGTATCATTCCAGAGTAGTTTAATTCAATAATGTCAGTTAATTTTCCATAGTAGTTATTCATGCCTTCGACTGGCCTTCTATCTCGATTACTGTAATAATTTGCACCTTCTACCATAACAACCACACCACTGTTTTGAGTTCGTAGAAGCTCCTCTCGTTTTCTTGTGTGAAATCGATAACCTTTAACTAGGTAGCCTGAGTATTTTTGCACAACTCTAAGTTACATGCAAGCCATTTTATTTCTTCGGTTACTTTTTGATCTCCTTGCTCGTCCATGCATCCGACCTATCAACATAATTATACAATTACATCTTGAAAATCAAACTTTGATACATCCAATATTTATTCCAAATTACCCTTCTCTTAAACCAATCACTAAATTGTTGGCAATGAATCTTGTTGATTTCATAATCATGTATCCGCCGAGATCGATTTTGTCCCTTTATTATCCTTTTGTGTTCCCTTCAGATAAAGAACAACAATATGAGGTAAATGAAGAATAATATGTAAACGCATAGGAAAACTAGTTTATCTTACTCTCGGAATGGTGAAACTGATACGACATTAAATGGGACATAACGATGTGCTTGAGTGAGTGACTTCTCGTCCAGGACGAAATTTGAAGATCTCTTTCTTTTCTGAAGTGACTTCTCGGAATGCTTTTTACATCCCAATGGGCGACCTGGGCAAAGATTGTTAGATTCTTCAATCTCATTTTGGTGACCTTCATCATCATTCCTAATTGGTCTAGTAAATATGGTTTCTACTCCCGAGAGACATCTGGAGCAAAATATTACACTTTCTTGAGCTAAATAGCCTTCAACAATTGAACCTTCAGGATGAGCTCTATTATGAACGTAGGACTTAAGCGTTAGAAGGTACCTATGATTACAATTACAAAAAACTGATCATCTATAGAATAATAGAAGATAATAGGAAAAATTAAAAGAAATATTGTTTACCTCTTTATAGGGTACATCCATCGAAAAGCAACTGGACCTCCTAACTTAACCTCTCTAACTAAGTGGATCACAAAGTGCACCATTACAGTAAAGAATGATGGAGGAAAAATCTTTTCCAATTTGCATAAAGGGAGGGAAACTTTCGATTCGAGATATTGGAGATCAACTTCAGTTAAGTCTTTGTAGCAAATGATCCTAAAAAAATCGCTCAACTCTATTATAGTGGAGCTTACATGATCTGGCAAAGTACCTCGTAATGCAATGGGCAATTATTCTTGCATCAACATATGGTGATCATAACTTTTCATCCCAACTAGTGTCTTCTCATTCAATTGCACACATCGAGAGATATTGGATGAAAATTCATCAGGAGGCTTAATTAGCTTTAAGATTTCTAAGAACAATTCCTTCTCATCCCGATTCATTTGATAACATGTCATTGTCATGAAAGTAGTATCGCTTCGAGGTTGCTTTTTGGGTTGTAATTCCTTTCTTATACCCATTTGTTTTAGATCAAGTCGTGTTTCATAGTTATCTTTTGAATTTTTTCCTTGACCTAACAAAGTCCCCACAATGTTCTCATATACATATTTTTCAATGTGCATCAGGTCAAAATTGTGACGCAACAACAATTGCTCCCAATATGGCAACATAAAAAAATACTTTTCTTTTTCCATGGACCACCATCTACTTTTTCAACAAGAAATTCTATACCATCCAACTGTTGGAGAACCTCCTCTCCGGAAGAAGGTTTTGGGGCAACTCATAATTCCTCTCTTCCAACAAAGGATTTAGTATCTCTACGCCAATGATGGTTAGTTGGAAGCCATCTCCTATGACACATGTAACAATACTTTTTTCCATGGGTTAGACATTTAGAATCAGTATCAAAACCACATAATGGACATGAAAGTGCTCCTTTGGTGCTCCACCCAGACAAATTAGCATAACTGGGAAAGTCGGATATAGTAGAGATAACTGATGCCTTTAATTGAAAGTTTTGTTTAGTTGAGGCATCAATTGTCTCAACTCCAACATCCCACAACTCCTTCAATTCTTTTATCAAAGATTGCATATACACATCTATCTTGTTTCTGAGAGCTCTTGGACCGGGAATAATTAAGGAGAGAATGAAATTAGGTTGTTTCATAACCAACCACGGTGGCAAGTTGTAGGGAATAAGAAAAACAGGCCGAATACTATGCGACACATTCATTGTCTTGAATGGGTTAAAACCATCACTTGCTAGAGTTAAACGAACATTGCAGGGATCACTAGCAAATTCTGGAATTTTTTTTATCAAAATCTTTCCAAGCTAGTGCATTAGCCGGATGCCGAATCTTTCCATCTTCCACATGTTCCACATGGTGAAACTTCATCAGGCTAGCTGTCTTCAACGACATGAACAATCTCTGAAGTCTAGGCTTCAAAGGAAACAACCGTAATATTTATGATGCCTTCTTCTTAGGTGGACTCGTTCCATTTTCTGAATTATCTTGAGACACTTTCCATCTCGATGATCCACAAATAGAACAACATTCATCGTTCTCCTTCTCTTCCCAAAACAACATGCAACTGTTAGGACATGAATGGATTTTTTTCATATCCTAATCCCAGTTTAGCCATTATTTTTTTCACTTGTGGTGTGGTCTTAGGTAACAAATTTCCTTCAGGTAACAAATCTTTTAAAAACTCCAAACATAGAGAACAATTCGTTACTCCATCCATTAAGACACTTTAGATGGTACAGATGCACTATAGTAGATAACTTGTTGTATTTGCAATTCGGATATAACTTCTCTTCAACTTCCTTCACTATATTATCAAATGTTCTTCCTCTATTTTCCCCCTCTTGACCACTATTCAAGGTAGCCTCGTGTGTCTCTACTCCAGTTCCATAAATTTCAGGTTGAAATACATCATTCAACATTTCATACATGTCATGGTCAAATAGATCTTCTACTACATTATGTACTATACCAGACAATGTAGCTGTTGAGCCTTCCCCATGATACACCCATACCAAGTATTCTGAGCGAAACCCCGAACAGATGAGGTGATCCAAAATATCTCATCTTCCACGATAATACATATTTAGGCAACGTGCACAAGGGCACAATATCTTTCCGTTAACATTTGATCTCTCAAATGAAAAATTCAAGAGCAATTGAACCCCATTTATAAAAGGTTCACTACATCTTGGTGCAGAATACATCCAAGATCTATCCATAACTGCTCCAATGAAAAGAAACAAGTTACATAGTAAAGCAAGTTCTGACGGCATTAGAAAAAGTTACCATATAGGACCGAGTTTGGTAATGACATTGATGGTAAAAAATTTAGTTGCTCAGGATGAAGACGCTGGTAATAATGAAGGGACTGATGAAGAATAAGACACTGATAAAGACGAAGAAGAATTAACCACTGATAAAGGAGAAGACCTTGCTCAGGGAATGAACTCTCCTCTAATGATGAACAAGTGCATTCGATTCTCACCTACTACTTCATCCTCTCCTTCTGCTGATGATGTTGTAATACGTGGATCAACCCCTCCTTTTGTGGAAACTGTCGAGCCAATGCTCCAAGATGTAACTTCTCCAAAACCAGCATCCCCCCCTCCTCAGGCTGAGACTATTCCTACTATGTCAACTCCTATCAAGACTGCTGCTTTTCATCAGGATGATCAGGAAGAATCTAGCTCCAAATTTCAAACTGTTGTGAATTTTTAACTCTCTCTAATAGTGCAAATCACTCAATCATTGGGAAAGAGGTTGACTAAAGTAGAAAAGGATGTGGCTAAAATGAAGTGACTTATGGCCCTGGTTGATGATGATGATGATGATGATATGGTTGTTGATGACACCCCACCAAACTCTCCAGGTGATAATTCTCCTCCATGTCCACCTCCATCATCAAATCTTCCTCCAAAACCTCCTCTACCATCTCATCCTCCTCCTCGCACTCCTTCACCACCTCCTAGTTCTCCTCATCAATATGATGCTGCTAAAAAGGGGGAGAATAATCAAGGGATTCCTGATTAGAAAATGCAAATGGTGGTGATTGCACCAACTCCATCTCAACCTGAGATGTTTGAAACTGGAAGGGTTGAAGCTGACCTTCAAAAGGAAATTGTTGTTGCTGACATTCTAGACGCTGATACAGCAACCGATCATCCCACTCTGGAAACTGGTGATCAATCAAATACCAATGATTATGAAGGGTTTCTTGATCTTGGATTCATGCCACAAGCTGATGTTTTTGTTGTTCCTTTAAATTTCGTCTACCCTGATTCATACTTTGAGGGGGAGGTTCCTCAAGGAACTTATAGTTACATTGAGTCTGATCAGCTCAATCCTCGAAAGAGGAAGGCTTCCTCCTCAGGGGGGCTCATGAAGCTGAAGCTGGAAGTTCTTTTGCTGCTGGTGATCCTTCAACACCCCCTCATTCCAAGAAAAGCAAGCTCATTTTTTTTTATCTAAATGAATGGCTAATATATGGGGTTTAACTGTTGATGAAGTAAGAGAGATCATGATTAAGAATAATGTTGCTATTCGACAAAATAAAGAAGCTAGAAAAGGAGAACGTCTGTCTGCCAAACTTTCTCAAGATCTTTCTTCTGCCGATGAAAGCTCTAATGATCAAGTCAAGAAAATTCAGCTCTTCAATAAAGTGTGGAGAAACAACATAGGTTTTCAGACCTGAATGACCGGATCGAGAGGAAGAAGTTTGGAGACATTCTAACTCGAAGAAAAAATCATGATCCCATTATCAAAGTAAGATGCACCAAACCAAGGAATGAGTCATTGAAGCTTCACTTGGTTAGGAAGAAGACTGAATATGAATACACTGAGGTTGTATTTGCTCGTGAGCTAGTCGAATTTGGCTACAACGAGTGGATGTAATTTCAAGAAGTTATTGACAAACACAAGGGTATTCATGTTCAGTAGGTGAAGTTGGTGATTCAGCGGCTACTCAACAAAGTCAAGAAGCTGAACCTTGTGCCATCAGCTGGTCCATCTAGACCATCCTCCTCAGGAAGAACAAGCATTCCAACACAATACAAGAATGCTAAGTTTCATCTTCCTTATGGAAGTAGGTACATCAAAAACGAACAGCCAGCGGGTGTTGAACTAGTCCAGTACGTGTTCATTCCAGAACTGGAGCATGGCATTTTTTATCTTGACAGTCAAAATCACATGTGCTTTCAACGCACTGATGATCGTCCTGTTGTTCACACTAAACACTTGTTTCATCTTCACATGGAAGGACTTAGTCATTTTAAACTTGAAAAAGGATATCATATGCTGATATCTCTGGTGCTTAGTAGAAGATTAGATGAACTTCAAATCGATGAATTCAGATGGGTTAAGCCTGAGAGCTTGAAAGAAGCTGACAAGTTCTACAATGGTTCTTCTGATGACACTGAAGAAGAAGATTAGTATTGACATCATCAGATAGGGGGAGATTGTAAGGTCACATCTTATGATCTGATGAGTCAAACACTCTATACGCTATCTGTCAGCATCAGCGTCTACGACACTGCCAACGCCAGCTGTGACAACCCGAAACTTCTATCTTGTACCTTAGTCAAATTCTATCAATGTTAAACCTGTTTCAGCTATCTTTAGCATTGTTTTGAAACTGTTTGGATGATCTAAAGCCTTGTACAACCAAAGTTTGAATTAGGGATGGGTTGGTTTTAGATTTAAGGTTGAAAATAGGCCAAACACTCCATCAAAAGGAGTGTGTGGCCACACACATGAGTGTGTGGCCGCACACCCGAGTGTATGGATGCACACATGAGTGTGTGGTCGCACACCCGAGTGTATGGCCGCACACACGAGTGTGTGGCCGCACACCCATCCTCCAGCCGCACACTCATCCCTATTTATATAAGGTGACCCCTTCACTCATTCCTTTCATTTGGTTGCACTCTACTTTCTCTCTCTAAAAACTTCATCCAAGAACACTCTCAAGGCCTCAAAAACGTGAGTTTTCCGTCACCTAGCTTATCATA